GTTCATGCACAGCTCTCTCAGGTCTGCACTTTGACTGGACCGTTGCAGCTTGATTGGTTTATTTTTCAGCTGTTCTGTTGGAGATTTGCTGCTGTACTCGGGATCATTGTCCTGTTGACGACCCAGTTTGGTCCGAGCTTTATCTGTGGGACTCTGGTATACAGAGTTCATCTAATCTATGGTGCTGTGTTCTTTGTACAGAGAAGAGGCTTTCTCCTACAGCCCTTACAAACCTGTCATGATCGTTGACTGTTAGCATGCTAACTGAGGCCTGAGCAGCATCACACGCTCTGAGCTCGGGGTGAAGTCGCTGGGACGTCCTGACAGGACTGCAGACCAGCAAACTGACCTTATAGAGGTGATCACACTTAGTGGTGTGATCTGTGATTATCAGCACCGGGTCAGACTGCAGGGGAAGTTTGCTGTTACTCACTTTCATGCAGTTATTTGTGTTTCTGATTCACACCTTTCATGCTGACACGCTGAAATGTTGCAGCCGTGTTTTTGTTCAGCGATCAAAGTGAAGTGTGAGTAGAAAGACAAACTGAGCCGTGCACAATGTCCGTCCTCATAAACACAGAGCAGCGTTAAACGTGCTTCATCCTGTCGGTGTTATTAAAAACCGCACGGCTTCATTTCCTCAGAGATTTCATTTCCTGCTGCTGTTTGTGTTCTTGCTTTTCACAGATGCATGCGTCTTTATTTTGGTATTTGTTTGCTTATTAGCTTCACGGTGGATTTAAAGGTTTGAAGGTCGGCACGTACTGAGCGGGGCTGGTTAAAGAGTCTGGACTGCGGCTGCCGTCAGTATTCTGGGAGTCCCCGAATCCTGAAAAGTCTGGATTCAGATTAGTCGGTGATGTTTCTCAGACAACATCGTGACCCAGTTTCTTTGTGGGTCATGATGTTGGATCCACATCTGGATGGACTCCCATCACTAAGGCGAGAGGATGTGCAGGTTAAAATGAAGTGTGTGACCTGCCGTGTTTGTTCCTGTTCAGGTTACGGAGCCGCTGTTCGGGTCGACGAGTGCAGCTTTCACCAGGCGGTGCGGCTGGACGAGTTTGACAGCCATCGGATCCTCCGACTGTGTCCCAGCCAGGGAGAGGTGATCCTAATCCTACAATATTACACACAGAGACACCAACAATCATATCACCCCCTATTAGCAGCACTTTGGTGACAGTGGGAAGGAAAAACTCCTTTTTAACAGGAAGCGACAGCTTTGCCTTGCTCCTCAGCACCATCAGAGTCACAGAGGAGCATGAAGGAGCCTGAGCACTCACCTGTTGTAGTTTCAGGGTTACGTCAGCAGCGCTCTGGTTTCTGTCTGTAACACACGAGCAACACTGAAACGTTTCGCTCACATCATCAGATCAGACTGAACTCTGAGCGTGTGCAGCTTGTTCCTCGACTGCTCCTCATGCTCTTCATCTCCTCCTCTTGCAGCAAACTGTGATGCAGTACCAGCTCAGCGACGACCTGCCGTCTGCGCTTCCTTTCCGCCTCTTCCCCACCATCGAGAGAGACAACGGAGGAAGGTAGGACCTTCATCACATCCACACAAACTACATGAGGTTCAGAAACCTGCAGTTCCTCTAACGTCCAGCAGAGGCTCCAGCAGTGCGCTGTCTCCTCAGACTCCCCAGTTAAAATGTGACATGGCCTCCTTAAACGATTCTCATAAAACCTGTAAGTTAAACAAACACTATGCAAACATGAAGCAGGTCCTGCTCTGAGAACAGGGTGAGGTTGTTGTTGGACAGTTGTGCCAGCAGAGGGCAGACAGTCTGAGCAGGTGTTTCACCTCCTGCAGGCAGGTGAGGTTTGATCGGTGAAAGCGTGAGCTCTGGCGCCCCCTATCAGGTTTATTC